TGGTGTGGGCCCCCTGGCGAGACAGCACGTCGGAGTCTGGGTTGAGCCTTCTGGTGACACCGCGGTCTGTGTGGACGGTGACACGTACGCCCCCTTGGCCACTTTTCGCCAGGAGCCGGGCTCCGGTCTGTACACCCTCCACACCGACCCCCGTCAGGTTCCTCCGTCCCACCAGGTAGCCAGGTCCAGTCAGGTTGCTGTGTCCGGTCCCGTTGCTGCGTCGTGCTCGTGTCGGTCGCTTGCCCACCCCTCCCTCCTCTGGCACCACCGCCTTGGTCACCCGTCCCTCCCTCGTCTTCGCGCTATGTCCAGTCAGCGTCTTGTCTTAGGCCTCCCCCGAGTCCTTCCGCCGCTCCCGCCGTCCCCAGCTCCTCCTTGCGGTCCTTGTGTCCAGGGTCGGCTGCGCGCCACCCCTCACTCCTCCTCCCTTCGTCCGGCCACCGAGCCCTTTGAGACACTCCACTTAGACGTCTGGGGCCCCGCTTCCCGCTTTGGCCCTGAGCGGGAGAGTTTCTTTCTGGTGGTCGTTGACGACTACTCTCGGTACACCACCGTGTTCCCTTTGGCGAAGAAGTCCGACGTGACTTCTACGCTGATCCGGTGGCTGCTCGCCACCGAGAGTACTCGCCGTCGTCGTGTCAGTTGTCTCCACTCCGACCGTGGGGGTGAGTTTCGCTCCGGCGTTCTCGCCAGATTCTGTGCTGAGCAGGGCATCTCCCAGTCCTGGACTCTTCCAGACTCTCCACAGCAGAATGGGGTTGCTGAGCGCCGCTTAGGCCTGGTCATGGAGATTGCCCGCACCTCCATGATCCACGCCCGCGCGCCCCATTTTCTGTGGCCCTACGCGGCTCGGTACGCCGCTCACCAGCTGAACCTCTGGCCTCGTGTCTCTCGGCCAGAGGCTTCACCGACCAGTCTTTGGACAGGGTCCCCTGGTGTAGCGTCGAGGTTTAGTGTCTGGGGCTGCTTGGCTCTTGTCCGCGACACCTCTGCGGACAAGATCTCACCTCGCGCCGTTCCCTGTGTCTTCCTTGGTTTCCCAGAGGACTCCTCTGACTTCACCTTTTACCACCCTCCCTCCCACCGGTTCTTTGACTCTCGTGACGTCCGTTTCGACGAGTCCGTCCCCTACTACGTCCGGTACCCCTGTCGAGGTCTCCCGGTTCCCCCCCCTCCCCTCTTCCTGGCTCCAGCTCCTCCTCCTCCCGCCCCTGCTCCTCCGGTACCCCCCCCTGTTCCCGCTCCGTCTGGTGTGTCCCACGCTACTCCCCCCCCCTCGGTACCCCCCCAGGTCTCTCCTCCTTCCCCACAGTCGTCCTCACAGCCTCCGCAGCAGCCGTCAGCGCTTCCTTTACCGGCCACTGCGGACTCTGAGGGTGTTGGTGCTCGAGGTGAGGGCTCTGGCGGTGCTCGCTCTGGGGGTGCTGGCGTTGGAGCTGTTCGTGCACCTACAGGAGCCGCCCGTTCTGGGGGTGTTGGCGTTGGCGCTGAGCGTGCACCTGCCGCAGCTGCCCGTTCCGAGGGTACTGGAGCTCGTGGTGGTGCTGGAGCTAGTGGTGTTCCTGGAGCTGGAGGGTCTGGGACTGGTGCTGGTGCCACTGGAGGCACCACGACTGGGGGTGCGGGTACACCTCCTACAGGTGCTGGTCGTGCTGTCGCAGGGGGGAACTCGCTCTGGGGATGCTCAGCCGGGTATTGTCGAGGGCGGAGCTGGTTCTTCTTCTTCGTCTCCTGACACCACTCCTCCTCCTCACCCCTACCCTACTCGTTACCAGGCCCTTCTTCGTGTTGAGCGTGAGGAGCAGCAGCGTTTGGAGCGTGAGAGGTTGGAGGTTCAGCAACTGGTGGAGCGTGAGCGGTTGGAGTTGCAGCGGGAGCAGCAGCAGCAGCAGCAGCCGCCGCCGCCGCAGCAGCAGCAGCAGCAGCAGCAGCCTCCGGCCCCTGTTTCTGGCCTTCGGGCCCTTGGTCTCCCCTCCTCTCCTCCTGTGTTCGGTCCTACGTTTCCTCCTCCGGACTCCGCTCCGGCTGTGTTCCCTCGTCCTCAGTCTCCTCCGTCTCCCTCTCCTCTCGCCCACACTTGGGCCTCTCGTCCTCCTCGTGCTCGTCCTTCGTCACCTGTCACTGACCTCCGTACTGTGTTGTTCCGTCCTAGTCCTCCTCGTTCTCCTCCGTCTGTCCTTCCTCGCCCTCCTGAGTCGTCTCTCACTGCCTCCCTGTCCACTCCGGTCACTGACTACTACCGCACGTACCGCCCCACTCTCTCTCGTGTTCTCGCCTCTCCCCCGTGCCTCTCCTTCCTCCGTCGCAGTCCTCACTACCGCTGTCACTGACTTTACTGCTACGCGTCGCCTTGACTACGCCACTCGTGTTGTGGCCGCTCCTCCTGTCCGTCCTCTGTTCGTCAGGGGTGAGTTTGCCCTTGGCTGTGACGTCCTAGAGGACAGACAGTTTGAGCTAGAGTTCCTGGCAGCTGCTTCGCCTCATCTCTGTGCCATGCTGCTCGCTCCTGAGGGAGACCCCGATGCTCCTGACATACCTACTCCTCGCACTTACACTGAGGCAGTGTCAGGGCCTTGGGCCTCTCAGTGGAGAGTTGCCATGGACGCAGAGATGGCCTCCTACAGGTCCACAGGCACTTACGTTGACGAGGTTCCCCCCCCAGGGGCGAACATAGTTGACGGCATGTGGATCTTCAAGGTGAAGCGGCCACCGGGATCTCCCCCAGTCTTCAAGGCACGCTACGTGGCTAGAGGGTTCAGTCAGCGCGAGGGGGTTGACTTCTTTCAGACCTTCGCGCCCACCCCGAAGATGACCACTCTTCGGGTGTTACTTCACGTAGCAGCACAGAGAGACTACGAGTTACACTCCCTCGACTTCTCCACCGCCTTCCTGCAGGGCAGCCTACACGAGGAGATCTGGCTGCGTCGTCCTCCGGGCTTCACTGGCACCTTCCCGCCTGGGACCCAGTGGAGCCTCAGACGACCGGTCTACGGTCTCCGTCAGGCACCCCGTGAGTGGCACGACACTCTCCGCTCTACTCTGTCCGACCTCGGGTTTGAGCCGTCTTCCGCCGACCCGTCGCTGTTTGTTCGTCGTGGGCGCACACCTTTCTTCGTTCTGGTCTACGTTGACGACTTGGTTTTTGCCACAGCCGACACAGTTGCACTGGCGGAGGTGAAGTCCGAACTGCAGAAGAGACACACCTGCATTGACCTTGGGGAACTGCGCCGCTACCTTGGCCTGCAGATCTCCAGGGACAGAGCCGCTCGCACCATCACTCTGACTCAGTCACACATGGTGCAGCAGGTCCTTCAGCGGTTCGGGCTTCAGCACTCCTCTCCTACACCCACCCCTCTTGCTGTAGACCACAGACTCACTGGGCCTTTTCCTGACGAGCCGTTCGAGCCCAGTGGTCCCTACGCAGAGCTGGTGGGCTGCCTCATGTACCTGATGACGTGCACTCGCCCGGACCTCGCCTTCCCTCTTAGCATCCTTTCTCGCTTTGTTGCGACTGGGAGACACCGTCCTGTTCACTGGACGGCGGCTAAGAGGGTGGCGAAGTACCTTGCCACGACATCAGACATGGGGCTTGTACTTGGAGGGACACAGCCAGTTGTACTCACCGGTCACTGCGACTCCTCCTACGCCGACGACGTTGAGACTCAGAGGTCTACGCAGGGTTACTGTTTCAGTCTGGGCTCTGGAGCTGTTTCGTGGAGGTCTACTCGGTCCTCCTCTGTTGCGACTTCTACCGCAGAGGCCGAGATCTACGCTGGAGCCCTTGCTGCACAGGAGCTACGCTGGTTGACCTTCTTGCTCACTGACCTTGGTGAGCGGCCGAGCTCTGCACCGACCTTGTTTGCTGACAACAAGGCGATGATTCTCCTGTGTCGTGAGCCTCGACTGGAGAGCAGAGTGAAGCACATCGACGTCAGGTACTTCCTCCTTCGAGAGTTGCAGAGACGCGGTCAGGCGCGTCTGGACTTCGTGGCCTCCGAGGCCAACACTGCAGACATCTTCACCAAGGCCCTTCAGCCTTGTGACCACCGCCGGTTTTGTCTGCAGTTAGGCCTCGTTGAGACTGGGTCTAGTAGACTGCAGTAGTGAGTTCTTGCCCCTTGTTTGTTTGTACTATATATATTAGCTTGTACTCTCTTGAACTGGCCTTGTGGCCTCTTGTTTGTGCTCAGACTGGTGGTGACGTTGTGATCCACCCTGAGCTCTGTTTGCTCTCTTGCTTGTGACTGGTCTTGTGACCTTAGGTTGTGTTTTGTTGCTTGGCATTCCCCACTTAGGCTATGGGGGTGTGTCAAATGTTATAGCCTCTAGTGGGACATGCTATATGGGGTACAAGCAGTTAGGGTTAGGCATTTGTACCCCAACACAGTCAATCTAACTCATTCCGCTGTTTTCACTTTGTGAGATCCTGGTACACATTCAGCCAAATGTCAGCGGAGCTGGTTCCTAGCCTCCAAGCAACCGCGAGCACTGCTCGCACCCCTGCTTCATCAGCCACTGTCAGCCGCATGCAGTTGCTCCATCAGCACCCGCCGATTTGTCATCCCTCTGGTGCTGCCAGCTTGCGCCTCCTTGCCCCCTGGCCATCCCACCACGGTCTCCCGTTCCTTCCTTGTGCACCTGCCCCGTCATAGTGGATAGAATCAATCTGTAGTTGCAAAGGAAAGGGTCAAGTGGAGGGCAAGCCACAACAAAACAAGTGAGATGCGACATCAGATGACAGCGGAAGATGTGCAACTGACATGTGGGCTGTTCATGGGTGCATGTGGGTGCAGGAGAGCTGGCTGAACCAGCTTGGAAGAGAGCACGGCACAAAGCAGAGCATGCATTTATCCCTCTCCCTTACGTGTGAACCCACACTTACCGATCTGGCAGCCAACTGATTGCGACGCAGGGGCTAATTTGATAGTCCTGGGAGAGGGAGAGGTAAGGATTGGGAAGAGCGAAGCAGAGATGAGGAGGAGTCACTCTGGGTATGACAGTCACTGCATCCACGCTACAACGGCCAAGCAAACTCTCTGGTGATCAATGAGTGTTGTACCCATGAACCATAAGAGAAAAGGATCAGAACCACATGTGCTGTGCATCACACATGTGCCGTGCATCACACATGTGCCGTGCATCACACATGTGCCGTGCATCACACATGTGCCGTGCATCCACATGTGCCGTGCATCACACATGTGCCGTGCATCACACATGTGCCGTGCATCACACATGTGCCGTGCATCACACATGTGCCGTGCATCACACATGTGCCGTGCATCACACATGTGCTGTGCATCACACATGTGCCTTGCATCACACATGTGCCGTGCATCACACATGTGCCGTGCATCACACATGTGCCGTGCATCACACATGTGCCGTGCATCACACATGTGCCGTGCATCACACATGTGCCGTGCATCACACATGTGCCGTGCATCACACATGTGCCGTGCATCACACATGTGCCGAGCATCACACATGTGCCGTGCATCACATATGCGCCCGTGCACCACGCGCACACACCTTTTCGTGACGGGGAAGGCAAGGCCCTTCCACCGAGGGCGCATGATCGTGAGAGCCGCCTGCCCCGAGCAGCTCGGGCCGGAGTAGAAGTTCAAAGCATAGCACATGCCGCCGCCAGCTGCTGCGAGCTTGGCGGCGCCAGCTGCAGTGCCGGCGACCTGCAGCTTGGCGACTCCCCACACGATGGTGACCTTGGCGCTGCCGCCGATGCTGGAGGTCAGGTCGCTGCACGCGGTGGTGTGGTGCCACCAATCGCCTCTGCCGGCGCATCGGTGCTGAAGGTGACCTTCTGCTTCTGGGCCTTGGCCTTGGCCTTGCCGCGGTTGCTCCCAAGTAGCTCCACTGTTGTCCGGAGTAGGGGGCCTGAGCGGCGGGCGGGAAGGTGGCAAAAGGGGGGGGGGGGGGGGGGGGGGGGGGGGGGGTCTGCGGGAGGAGAAGGTGAGCTGCTAGAGGTGAGGTCGCTGCACGCTGTGGTGCCGCCAATCGCCTCTGCCGGAAACTCAGTGGAGAAGGTGATCTTCTGCTTCTGGGCCCGGGCCTTGGCCTTGCTGCGGTTGCGCTCAGAGTTGGGGGCCTGCAATTCCAGCGTCGTCCGGAGTAGGGGTCCTGCGCGGAGGGCGGGACAGGGGAACGCAGGTGAATGGAGGTGCAGTGGAGAAGGCGAGCTTCTGCTACTTGGCCTTACCGTGGTTGCGCCCAGAGTTGGGAGCCTGCAGCTCCAGCGTCGTCCGGAGTAGGGGGCTTGAGTGGCCGGGGAGACAGTTGACAACAGAGAGGAAAGGAAACGAGCAGTCAAGGGAGGAGTGAGGAGATGAAAGCAGCCAAGTAGCTCCACTGTCGTCCGCAGTACGGGGCCTGAGGGGCGGTGAGAAATTTGACGACATGAATGGGGGTTTCAAGGCGTCGAGTTGGGGCGGGACAGGGGAGGTGCGGGAGGAGTGAGGAGACGAAAAAAGGTGGTCAACGTTCAGGTGAAACACCTCCAAGAGTAGTCTTTTAGCATTGCCTCTTAGCGCGAAACGTGATGCCTGCTGAAATGCGTTTGTTTAAAGAAATGAATTGTCTATATTTCATGAATGCAGCACTCACCAAAGCACGAGTTGTATTCCAGGCTGAAGATAAAAACCAGGCGTGGGCTGTGAAGCGCTACAAGGAGCGGTCAAGCCACTTTGACCCCGTGTGCGGACAGCACAGCGACGTGTACAAGGGCACGTGCCCGTACAACCCCGCCAGGCGTGGGGGCACACGCACAAGGGGTCACTTTTGAGTCGACTCACTTTTGAGTTGACTCAAAAGTCACCTCATATTCCAGGCTGAAGATACAACCAGGCGTGGGGGCACACACACACGGGGTCGCCAGCAGCGGTCCGAGAGCAATCAGCATTTTTTAAGCACCTCAACAGTTGTCTAGGACTCACCAAAGCACGTCTTGTAATCCTCGCTGTATATAAAACCAGGCGTGGGGCACACGCACACGGCATCGCCAGCAGCTGTCCGAGAGTAGGAAGAATCGGAGGCACAACTCAGGGCGGCACACAGGTCTGCCGAGGAAAGAACCGGTGTGGTTGGGAGGCGTAAGTAGGGGAAGGGATTTGGGAATTCTTACACACTCATCTACACACACATAGTCAAACACGCACGCGGGACCGCCAGCATTGCTCAAAGAGCAGGATGCAACATAGCCACAACTCAGGGCGGCACACGGGTCTGCAGAGGGAAAAATAGGTGGTTACAAGGTGTAAGTAGAGACATAGGCTTAGACAAATGGAACTGTCAGACACTGTTCTGCAGAAGAGATGGGTGGTGTTCAGTACACGGGTCTGCAGAGAAGTTAAGGGTGGGTGGGTGCCACCTCTGTTCTGCAGACGAGACGAGATGGGTGGTGTTCAGCACACGGGTCTGCAGAGGATCCTTGTTTTGAGTCGATGCAAAACACATTGTACTGCAGACGAGGTGGGGGGTGTTCAGCACACGGTTTTGCAATGACAGAACAGTGTGTGCATGGGTCTGCAAAGGAGTTTATGGGTGGGTGAGAGGAGAAGTTTGGGGGTCAGGAAAAGAAGCATAAAAGGGGAGTTAGCATACATCGGCTACGCCGACAACACAACCTTGGTGCTAAAAGGGAAGGAGCAAGTGGAAAAAGCGAAGAAGTTGCTGGATGACACAAAGGGAAGGAGCAAGTGGAAAAAGCGAAGAAGTTGCTGGATGTCTTTGCGGAGATTTCAGGCCTGAGAGTGAACCACGACAAGACGTCATTGATGCCGCTGGGGAAGAACAATTGGAGGCTGCAGCCGATAGCCTTACCTTTCACCTGGGCGGATAAAGACAAGACGGAGTGGTTGTTGGGTATCTGGATCACATCTGGAGGTTCGCCGGGACCGGCGTAGGACAAGGCATTTGAAAGCGTGAGCGCGGTGTTGAGCTGTTGGGAATCAAAGCATCTCAAGACGTCGGCATGGGTCACCATAATCAACAGTTATGCGATGCCGATTTTACTGTTCCAAGCACAGATCTACGCTCCGCTGCACTAATTCTGGACGAAGGTGAAGCAACTCTGCCACAACTTCATCGCTGGGGGCAAGGCGGTGCTCGACAGACACTTCGTACTCTGGAATTATGACCTGTCGTGCAGAGGGCGGAAAGAGGGAGGACTGGCCATGGTAGATCTGAAGCAGCGAATTGACAGCACGGTCATTCAAAATTTCGGGAAAGCCCTGGTGGAGCAGGAGCCTTTACGAATCTGGCTATGGGAGAGAGCGGCTGCCTTCCCGCTCGGTCTGGCGACAATCTACGCCCACCCCTCGATCCTGTTTCACTGGTTGGGTGGTGGAGTGGGGTGGAAAGCCACAGTGAAAGCACTATGGGGGTCAAAAATATTAACTATGGGGGATCCAGCACACAGATGGGATGCGGAAGAGGAGCAACTGCTGTTCAACAGGAAAATTTTCTTCAGAGGCAGATCACCTTTCGGGAACCATGCAGGCTCACACTACCTGAAAGGTGTCCGATAGGGTGACTTGGTGGACAAAGGCAGCGACGGCAGCAGAAACCTCAAGAGTGACGCCACCCTGGAACGGGAGTTGGGGGGGGAGGAGCAGAGGAAATGGGCTCGAAAAGCGTGGGATGCAACGCCGCAAAGCTGGTGGGACTTGGTACTCAATAGTCTGTCGGCGGAGGAAGTTTTCAGGGAAACGAGCTTGGTTCGCTCACCGTCTTACCGCCCAAGGGAGTTTTTCTACTACAAACTGGAACACACGAGCAACGGCGTGCTATACGGGAAACACGTGGTTGTGGATAAGAAGGGGCATATATAGGCGGTGGATTATGCCAGTGTGGTAACGGTCGACCACCTGCGTGTCACCCCTATGGCGGTCATAGAAGGAAGGATGCGTGGCCTGCTAGGCGAGCCGAGGTCCCGGCTGCTCTGCTCGCCAATCTATGACAAAGGCGAGCGTGCCAAGATAAGACAGCTGAAGAAAGCGGTGGGGAGGAAGATTGATTGGGGGAAGGCTATTGAGATTCGGGACTCACTGGCAACCCCGGCCAAGGCACGGGACGTGATTTTGAGGGTGCACAGTAACAACCTTCAGGTGGGGGAGAGGCTCGCTGTGTTCACTGCGGGGGGGAGGAGTCACAAAATCACTGCCTATTCAGTTGCCCCGTGATTCAACCAGTGGTCAGGGTGATGAAGAGGGCAGTGCAGTGCATGAATCCGGGCAGGAGTATGGAGAGCCTTGGCGACATGCTCTTCCAGGAGAGCTGCACGTCAACTGGCCTTTTGGAAGCGGCTTTCATCTCAATTACAGCACAGCAAGTTTGGCTGGAGAGGTGCAATGCGGTCTTCCGTGGCAGCCACTTCCAGCCAAAAAGAGCAATGAGGCGGATAGCAATTGGTTTTACAAGGCACGTGAAGATCTACAGTAGGGCTCGGAGGCGGATGGCTGGCAAAAGTGGCGGGAGGAAAAACGACTGGGACCACTTGAGGGCCGACGAGGCGAAAGTCATGCGCATGCTGTACGAGAACGAGGCCTCGATGACGTGGAGGACAGGCTTCAAAGCAGCTTGGGAACATGGCGGTGTAGCCTTCCAACCTCCATAAACGTGATGGGGGGGGGGGGGCGACAACTCTTTGTTTCTGCTGCCCTTCTAGCATCAGTTACGACTGCAGATGTTTGCATACAAGTAGTGTACTTATATCCACCAAAAAAAAAAAAAAACTCACCCTCACACGCACACTCACCTTCACACACACACTCACCCTCACACGCGCACTCACCTTCACATACACACTCACCCTCACACGCACATTCACCTTCACACACACACTCACCCTCACATGTGCACTCACCTTTACATGCACTCACCCTCACACGCATACTAACCTTCACACACACACTCACCCTCACACGCACACTCACCTTTACATGCACACTCACCCTCATACGCACACTCACCCTCACATACACACTCACCCTCACAAGCGCACTCACCTTTACACGCACACTCACCCTCACACGCACAGTCACCCTCACATGCGCACTCACCCGCACACACATACTCACCCTCACACGCACACTCACTCACCCTCACATGCACACTCACCCTCACACGCACACTCACCCTCACACACGCACTCACTCTCATACACACACTCACCCTCATACATACACTCATCCCCACACACACACGCTCACTCTCACACACACACTCACCCTCACACATACACTCATCCTCACACACACACTCATCCCTCGGGAGTTTATGGGTGGGTGCGAGGAAGCACACCCCCAGCACTCGCCCACACTCCCAGCACTCGCCCACACTCCCAGCACTCGCCCACACTCCCAGCACTCGCCCACACTCCCAGCTCTCGCCCACACTCCCAGCACTCGCCCACACTCCCAACACTCGCCCGCACTCCCAACACTCGCCCACACTCCCAACACTCGCCCGCACTCCCAGCACTTGCCACACTCCCAACACTCGCCCGCACTCCCAGCAATATCCAAGCACTGGCACACAGCAGTGCCATCAGCACGCACAACGCACTCAACCACACTCCACCACTCATCACTATTGCATGTGTTGTCAAGTTGATTGAAGGTAGAAGAACCATCCAGCACAGGCACATAGCAGCGCCATAAATATTCACAATGCACTCAACCACCCTCCACCACTCATCACTATTGCATGTGTTGTCGAGTTGATTGAAGGTAGAACAATCATCCAGGCACCGGCACACAGCAGCGCCATAAATATTCATAACACAATTAGCATCGGTCCCACAATCCTTGTTAGCACACACGTCTGCACGGGAAACCAAGGGTTGTTTCAAGGTAAAGCAGGGAAAGGGGTCACAAGAGTGATTTTTTTTTTTTTTTTTTTTTTTTTTTTTTTTACGTTGCCCTCACTTTTACTCCATCCAGCTCTCACCCACACTCCAGGCATCAATTGCCAACTTTCAACGTCAGCTATCAGAGTCCGCTTTCAACGTCAGCTTTCAACGTCAGCTATCAGAGTCAGTCAGCTTTCAACGTCAGCTTTCAACGTCAGCTTTCAACGTCAGCTTTCAACGTCAGCTTTCAACGCCAGCTATCAGAGTCCGCTTTCAACGTCAGCTATCAAAGTCAGCTTTCAACGTCAGCTTTCAACGTCACCTATTAGAGTCAGTCAGCTTTCAACGTCAGCTTTCAACGTCAGCTTTCAACGTCAGCTTTCAACGTCAGCTTTCAACGCCAGCTATCAGAGTCCGCTTTCAACGTCAACTTTGAAGAGCGAAGGGTTTCCAGGCACTGCCACTTGGGGGTGCCATAGCTCTTCAGGACGGAAAGCAAGAGGGTGGGAAGCAAGAGGGTGGGAAGCAAGAGCGTAGGAAGCAAGAGGG